ACGAGAACAACAGCGTTGCCGCCGATGTGATAGTGCGGGGTATACCTATTTCTACAGATGAGGTTGTTGGCGAGATTTTTAATAAAATCTGCCGGGCAGTTCAACTAGACCCTCCCCCGTTTCGAGCAGCTTTTCGTGTACGCAGCAACAGTAACTCCAAGAGTGCCCCAATAATTGTGAAGCTCCTTTCTCTTTTTTTGCTTAAAGCTTTTACTGGGTTTTACAAAACCAACAGCAGAGGAATACAACTAAGAGATATCGGATACAAGGTAGAGGAGAGAATCTTCTTAAGCGAGTGTCTCACTAAATGTAATCGGGAAATTATGCAGTTTGCTACCCAGCTTAAAAAGCAATGGCGAATTACAACTGCTTTTCCTTTGAGAGGTGAGGTGTTTGTTCGTGTCCAAACTGGTGGTACTGCCGTCAAGATCCTTTGCAAAGAGGCCTTAGAGAAACTACTGCAAAATAGCAAATGACTAAGGGGCCTTCTGATATGTTTTATTCGTAAGAAACTTTGTTACTCGCTCTGCTCTTCTTCTTTCTACCTTTTATTACTAAAGACACTCTCCCCCCTATCGTTTGTGATTATTATATGTTATAATGCGTTTGGCACATATCGGTAAATTCTATTTGCTCTTAAAGTGCGGTGTGTTCTCTTTTGTCTAAATGAGTGTGGATGATCGATTTAGTTCCAAAGACAATGACAGCACTTTTAATATGATACGTATCTTAAGTAAGCAAAAGCAAGGCTTAAAAGTATGTCATCTAAACGCTCAAAGTTTACCAGCCAAAATTGACGAGTTTAGATATATTTTGAATCTTCTGATGTAGATGTTGTGTGAGTGTCTGAAACTTGGTTCTCCTTGTGGCATAGTGATAGTATGTTCTGTGTTAATGGGTATAAACTTTTTCGTCAAGATAGAGCTAGTCATAGTGGTGGTGTTGCCGTATTTGTCAAATCTGGTTTATCTTATAAACTTAAGTGTACTTCGGAAGCTTCCAGTTCTATAGAATATCATTTTGTTGAAATTATATCTAATTGCAAGAAAATTATCATAGGCTGTGTTTACAGACCTAACAAACATGTTTCTTATGAGCAATTTATGTATTTCATCGGAAATCTTACTCTAAACTACAACAACATAATTATACCTACTTCGAGAAGGTAAATTTTCAACAGAGATGGGAAATTTGGGTCTGTATTCTGCCAACATAAGGACTCCTACACATTTCACTCAAACCAGCTGCACTCGTTTGGACTTATTTTTTGTAAGTGATATATCAAAAATACTAATCTACGACCAACTATTCGTTCCGAATTTTTCCACGCACGATCTCATCTTTCTGACATTTGATTTCATGAGCATTTGTAATGAGTTATCGTTTTCATATCGGGACTTTCAACACATTGATTATAAGCAACTTGAAGTGGCTGTCGATGCTACCGATTGGGGATCCGTCTACAACTTCGTTTCTTCAAACGATCAGATCAATTTTATTCAGACCCATATTAATACACTCTTCGAAGAATTTGTTCCGCTCGTAACTAAATCAACCAGTGTTCGTAACCGCCCTTGGTTTAACAATTATATTAAGAAACTGATTCACAAGAGCAACGCAGCTTATCGTAAATGGAAGCGATCTAGGTGTCAAACAACCCACAGTGATTTCAAGGCTCGGAGAAGAGAAGTTACCAGAGCCATAAAACAGCAAAAGCTTAAGTATTATGAACATCAATTCAGCATTGCAATAGGTTCTAAAAAGACATGGGAACGTATTCATGAAATCGGGATTGGTAACAAAAGCAATTATGTGTCGGAAAATTTAGATGTGAATGAGCTTAACAAAATTTGTGCAATTGTCTGCTGAATGCTGCAATATATGTCCTGTAAGGTATAGTACTTGTTTGAATGTTACGTCTTCTGGTTTTTTGTTTCAAAAGTGTTGATGATTGTGAAGTTGTTCAGTCTATACTTAGCGTTAAGTCGAATGCTACTGGTACTGATGGTATTCATCCTAAGTTCTTCAAGTGCATTCTACCTAAAATTCTACCTTACGTAACTTTTGCTCTGAATACCATCTTGGTAACTTCGGATTTCCCACTCTGCTGGAAAAGAGCTAAGATAGTTCCAATTGAAAAACCCAATGGTGATTATAGGCCTATTGCGATACTTCCCTTCCTGTCCAAAGTCCTCGAGCACATTATGCACCGCCAGATAAATCTCTACTTAAGTCGCAACTCCTTGCTTAACCCTTACCAATCTAGATTTAGGTCTAACAGGAGTTGCACAACGGCACTCATTAAAGTTTCTGATGATATTAGACAGAACATCGACAACAATCATGTTACCTTTCTAACCTTTCTTGACCATTCAAAAGCCTTTGATACCGTTAGTCATGAAATCCTATGTCTAAAACTTAAAAACTTATTTAACTTCTCACAAACGGCCTTAAATTTAGTGAAATCGTACATTAGTGATCGTTCACAGGTAGTAAGTGCTGGCAACGTAACATCCAGCTGTTTACCTATAACCCGGGGCATTACCCAGGGTTCAATTCTGGGTCCATTGTTGTTTTTGTTGTACATTAACGACCTACATAATGTCTTAAAACATAGTGATGTGCTTATCTATGTAGATGACGTTCACTTATATGTAAACTGTCCTTTTGCGTCCATTAATAACTGTATTACTAACCTGAATTCTGACTTAGAACTCGTAAATAGGTGGGCTTGCGATAATGGTTTAGTCCTGAATCCAAACAAATCCCAGTGCATCGCTGTTTATAAGAAGACGTTCAATATTGACGACTTTATGGAAACAAAACTCAACAACTTTGTGATAAAATTTGTGGACACTGCTAGGAACTTAGGGGTCTTTTTTAATAGAACTTTGTCATGGAGTACCCACATTTACAATACAATAGGCAAGGTTTATGGCATGCTTCGGTCTTTATGGACTACGCAACACTTTACACCAGTGAGAACTCGACTGCTTTTAGCTAAAACTTTTTTGTTACCAACGTTATTGTATGGCTGTGAACTGCATGCTAGTTGTGACAGTGAGTGTCGTGGTAAACTTAATGTCCTCTATAACAACATCGCAAGGTATGTCTATTGTATTAAACGTCGTGACCACATTTCTGTGTTTGCCACCCAAATTTGTTCAGTACCGTTTGATGACTTACTAAAACTAAAATGTCTTACACTCCTTCATAAGATCATTACAACTCAGGAGCCCAAGTATCTTAAAGAACGGATTCAGTTCACTAAATCGTCTCGATCACTTAATATACTTAGTATGAAATTCAGTTGCTTAGTTACAGAACGACAGTTCTTTGTTTTCGCTGTCCGTCTTTGGAATGCTCTGCCTCATAAAATTAAAAACATAAAACGCACACTGCAATTTAAGAATGAATTATTACGCTATTTGTTAAACGAGTACTAGAGATGTATACCTGTAACCTCCATGTCTGTCCCTCGTATTTTTTCTGTCCTCCCCTACTGTTTCTTCTTTTTAATTACTCTCCTTTTGTTTAATTATTTGCCATATTGTGGTGTAGAACATAAGCTTTCTAGTGTTAAGACTCAAACATTGTAATTTAACCTATGGTTGTATGTTTGATTTAAATTTAATGAAATGAAAATGAAAAGCAGGTCCCTACGCACTGTGCTAATTCCGACTTGTAAATTATCGTTGCTTTTTCCCCACTTTTTCATTTTTGCTAACCCAACACAATCAAGCGCAGCTATTCCGCTACGATTTACACTTGATCATGTGGTTGTTGGTTTTGTTGGTTTTTGTTAATAATTCTATTTTTAGAATGTTTAACTTTTAGGTGTGCTCGTCTGTAAGTTGTTTGTTTTTGTTATTTTATGGCCTTATAACAATTATATTCAAAAATTTTTATTGAGCTCGAGGCCGTTTTTAATGAAAAACTTATTGTGGAAAGCAACAATAATTTGAAAAAATGGTAGAAGTGATAGGTATTTCGGAAATCACCACATTTCCTCATCAGACTTTTTTCAGTAGGATTCGAACCGACGATCCCACTGACTCAGCCAGTTGCGTACGCACTGTGCTAAGTCCGAATTAGCGTTGCTTTTTTCCCCCTTTTTCATTTTTGCTAAGCCAACACAATCAAGAGCAGCTATTCCGCTACGATTTACACTTGATCATGTGGTTGTTGGTTTTGTTGGTTTATGTTAATAATTCTATTTTTAGAATGTTTAACTTTTAGGTGTGCTCGTCCTTAATTTATTTGTTTTTGTAATTTTATGACCTTATAACTATATATTATGAAAAACTTATTGTGGAAAAGCAACAATAATTTGAAAAAATTGTAGAAGTGATAGCTATTTCGGAAATCACCATATTTCCTCATCAGACTTCTTTCAGTAGGATTCGAACCGACGATCCCACTGACTCAGCCAGTTGCCTACGCACTGTGCTAAGTCCGACTTGTAAATTATCGTTGCTTTTTTCCCACTTTTTCATTTTTGCTAAGCCAACACAACCAAGCGCAGCTATTCCGCTACGATTTACACTTGATCATGTGGTTGTTGGTTTTGTTGGTTTTTGTTAATAATTCTATTTTTAGAATGTTTAACTTTTA